CACGATTCAAAAATCCATGTTTCAAGATCGATGCGTTGCATCGTCAGGGTTTGTTATTAATGCATCGAGAAAACGAGTGAATCGTTATACCCCTACTTTATCTTTAAATGTATCGTTCTTGGTGTGAACGGGGCTTAAGTGTGAGTTTTGTGTTTCTGCCCTTGCCATTCTCGCACAATTAAGGTTGTAGCACTTTAATTCATAAATGTGATCTAACAAAGGTAAAGGGCAAATATTAACCATATATGCTGTTTACATTGCTTGTAATTGGGATGAAGTAAACATCTGTTGAGTATTTTAACATAACATTTTTGATTGTGTTGAATTAAAAACCCAAAAATGCAGCGGGTCCACCAGACCCAAGAACAATAGGCCTAACAAAAATATGAGCACCACACAAGGGTTAAAAATAGTAGATCCATCAACATGTCAGGTGTGGAACAGGTTTCTTTTTGAACATGCCAAATGGGCACACAGCGATTGCATTGAACTTTACATTTCTACAGACATCTTATTTCCATCACACTCCAAAACAAATATTTGTTGTGATTGTCAAGGATTTTAACACATTTGTGTAACAGATGATAAATAAGTTCACATATCACAGGCTATTGATTTCTTTATATGCAATGTAGGTGAAAAAAAAAAATCTACAGCATGGTATAATGGTGTAATACAAAGTGACATGGGAAGTTGTTATACAGTGAAAAATGACTTTGTGTTTGATGTGTTCTTTTTATGCCAGCTTACTTTAGCAGTGCAATATAGCAAAATACGATTTTGTATATGTGCGTATTTCAGTAATTCAGTGAGTGAGCTGCACAAAAAATAACACTACAAGAATAAATAAGGAATGTTCTGGGCTCAATCCAAGTTGATTTGCTGTTGATTACCATGTAAAATAATTGTGAAATGTTATAAAAACAAGAAAGAGTAAAACTTAAATTGGAATTAGGAAATCTATGAAGGAAGGCACTGCACTAGTATAAATGTTAGAATACATGCTTTTCAAAAGAATAGCTAAAAAATAAACATTACATGGTACACATAAATCTAACGTGCTAGAACTGCTAGCTAAGCTTATCTGTGTAATATTATACCTAATATCTCAACTCCAGCCATGCTTATGGTTACCAGAAATCAGAAAGAGTTTTAACTATTGTAATTATCTGCGAAGTACTGTTTGCATGGAGCAACTCCACCCACAGGAATTACACTAGAAATGCAGAAATTAATCTGTCTAGAACAGTAGTTCCACTGCTAAAAGGGTGATTTATTATTTAGACAACTTTACAACTTTTTACAACTTTACAATTACTTACAAAAATACAACTTGTACACTTCTGACTTAGGAATCTTATCTCTTAAAATTATATTGTGTGTGTGTGTTTGTTACGGTAAATGTCATTTTTGTTTGTTTTTACAAATTAAAAGACGAGTTGAAATGATTGTCTTTGTTAACAGCATGTCACAAATGCTTTGGACAGAACTTGTATTGAACCTGGAACATTCCTTTAATGAGTCACGATAATTTAATCACAGTTTTAAAGCATTTCTTCATCAGCTGGATTACCTGCACAGGAAAAGATCCATCAATCCGTCTTTCCTTCATCAAGTCTTTTATAGCACAGCTATACACAGCTCAAAAATGGACTTTATTCTGATGCATCTATAATCCAAGCTTGCACTTTTAAACCTGCTCCAGTGTGCTTTGTGAAATGGCCAGAGCAGTCATGTGAATATCATCAAACCAGGGTCTTGTAATCCTTTAGTCTCTGGGAAATGGGCAGGGAATGATGTCCTAGAACGTCTACATGCCAAAAGAAATGTTACAGTCCTCCATTTAGCAAAGCTTCCTCTCCTTGCTCAGCGAGCAGCTTCCAATTCTGTCTGTTCTTCCTACATCCCTCCAGCAGGGGGGAGCAGTACTCTGAGACACCCGTCAGCGCCTGCTCACACAAACACAGGGCAAGAGAGCAGAGGAACACTCAATAAAAAAAATTATCACAAGGTGATGTTAAAAAGATAAGACCCAAAAATAAAAATCCTGTCATCATTTACTCATATTTTGAAGAATGTTGTGGTCCAAACAAAATTGGACCCCACTGACTTTAGCTGCATGGAATCTTAACATTGTCATTTTTCAAAATATAAGAAATGGATACAAGTCTAGAATGACATGAAGATGAGTACATGATGACAGAATTTTCATTTAACGAGCAGAAGAAATGGTGAGGGCTTGCTTTATTCTAAATGATCAAATTAACCCTGTAAATCCTGACATGATACAGTAAGCT